TTTTTTTTAATGAATAAAGTACATTTTCCAACAATAAAGTGAAAATGTTACAAGAATAAATTTGTAATGGCCAACATTCAAAGAAAAAAAAAAATCTAGATATAGTAAGCTAAAAGTCAAGTGTCACGTGGAAAATGTAAACATGACAAAAAAGGTTTGTTATATTTTGTTTTTCATAGCACAAGAATGAGTTAAAAATTGAACAAGAATAAAGTTGAAATTTTACCAAAATAAATTCCAAATATTATGGAGAAAATTTTTATGAGAACAAAGTCCAAATATTAAGAAAAAAAAAAGAAATTATGAGAATTAGGTCAAAATATCTCAAGGAAAAAAATCTGGGAGTAAATTAAAAATATGACAAATCATGACTCGTCAAAATAAGAGGGAAAAAAATATTAATCCATGAGGATAAATTCAAAATATCAACAGTACTATATTATATATTATTATTATTTCCTATTAGGGTTTTTGTTTTTTATCGATTGTTTTCCGGTAAATTGTAAATATGAAAAAAATATCATGAAAATAAAGTCCGAATATAACAAGAAAAAAGTCCATCTAAACGTTTTTCTTTTCTTTTTTGTCGTCGAGCAAAGCAATTTTTTGGTCTTTGACTGACTCAAGTTTCCAAATTGAACACCCATCGCAGCAATTCCACGAGGCGGCCTACCTGGCGGACGACCGGCAGGACCTCCTGAACGCCATCAACAGCTTCCTGGACTGCAGCATCGTGCTGCCGCCGTCGGAGATGGGCGGCGACGAGCTCCTGCGCTCGGTGGCGCGATTCCAGCGGGAGATGATGCGCAAGCGGGAGGAAGGAAAACTGCTGGCCGACGAACCCAAAAGCCTGGAGGAAAAAGGTAAACCTTGAAAAATCCAGCGCGGTTGAGAACTTATCGTAACCTCCCCGCCCGTCTAACCGCGCAGAAGCCCTGATCACGCCTTTCAAGAAGTCCGATGACCCCTTGGAGCGCACCGGCCGGCCCTTCGGCGGCCTGATCCGAGACGTGAGGCGGCGCTACCCAAATTACGTCAGCGACTTTAAGGACGCCCTCAACAGCCAGTGCATGGCCGCCGTCATCTTCATCTACTTCGCCGCCCTCTCGCCGGCCATCACGTTCGGAGGGCTGCTGAGTGAGTGCCAGCGGCGAGCGCATTTTGCCGTCATTCTGAGATGCTAACTTTGTGCGTACGTGATTTCTCAAGGCGAGAAGACGGAAGGTCTGATCGGTGTGTCGGAGCTCATCGTGTCCACCGCCGTGCAGGGCGTCATTTTCTGCTTGCTGGGAGCGCAGCCTCTGCTGGTGGTGGGCTTCTCTGGACCGCTTTTGGTCTTTGAAGAAGCTTTTTACACTGTAAGCCCTCAATCCAAACGGACCGAGCCAAAATCTTGAAAACTATCCCCTTAACCCCGTAAGGCCTGCAGTACACGGAGCGACCGAAAGCGATTGAACTGGAAAATCACCCCAAAAAATAAAATAAACAAAAAATCGTGACTTATTTTTCCAAAATAGCACTTAATAATATTGAACTTTTATACAAATATACATAACCACATAGTATGTCAAGAATTAAACCATTTTGCCCACATTTTTGCTTTAATTCAATGGACGTTGTGCTGCTCCTTCTGTTATGCATGCCTTTGCCACTAGGAGGCAATAGAATACATATAGGAAGTCACTTCTCTGTAATATCGGCTGTTCTTCGCAGAGGACAAAGAATATATGATGTAGGGTACTTTTATATTTGTCGACATGTGTTGCTGTCATGAGAACTCAATCCCGACCCCCGCACGTTGCACGACAGTTCAGTCGGGTTCGGCCACATCGCTCGGTGTGCGGCGGGCCTAAACTAATTCATTAACTTCAGCGTGTTTACGTTGTGCCGGCGCTGTCGTTTTTTTCAATGTTTGTGCGTGCAAGTTGGAAACAAAAACGTTTTTTGTGGTCCCAGTTCTGCAAGTCCAGCGACATGGAGTACCTGACGGGCCGCGTCTGGATCGGCGTGTGGCTGGTGGTCATCGTGCTCGTCACGGTGGCTTTCGAGGGCAGCTTCCTAGTGCGCTTCGTCTCCCGCTTCACGCAGGAGATCTTCTCCTTCCTCATCTCGCTCATCTTCATCTGCGAGACCTTCATGAAGCTCGGCAGGGTAAATAACAAGCATCAAAAGAAAAAAAAAAATGGCTTCCTGATGTGTTAGCGTCCTTGATGCTAACGCGAGCGGACTTAATCGCTCCCTGGACAACGTTCAGAACTCAAGGCTGAAACGAGTGTGTTTTTCTAACAAGTGGAGTTGAAATCTCCGTTGACGGATTGGAGTTGAATGTTTAGTGGATGGAGAGTTTATTATCCGGGCTTATGTTTTTTTTTTTTTTCCAAATTAGTCTTTGCGACGCAAAATCTAATTTAGCGGAAGCTATGGGAGTAACAATCACCAGGTTTGAAGTCAAGCCAAACTAAATCTGCGTCATGTGACGTTCAGGACAAAAAAATTATTGAAAAAATTACATATCTATTCGAGCTGTCAAACGATTAAAATATTTAATCGAATTAAAAACGCAACGTCATAATTAACTCATAATTAATTGTGATTACTCACACATTTTTTGTCGTTTCTGAATTTCCTTTGATATTTTTGTCCTATTTTTTCCCGTTTTAATGCTCTCATCAACATGGAATCATGGATCAGTTTTCTACGTGCAAAATCCAAATATTTACTGAAACAATAATTTCGATTTTCAATTTTACATGAACATTTTTCACTTGGAGCAGTTATTCACACATTTAAAAATTTAATCACGTTAAAATTCATTTAAATGAATGGCGATAATAACGCGCTAAACTGCAAGCTCTAATTTATATAAAAATATAGTAATGAACTCTTCTGGTCACCGGGCAGATTTTCAAGCAGCACCCTCTGAAGCGTTGCCCCCTCAACCCGCTCCTTCCTTTAAACGACACGGCGGCCCAGAACGCCTCCGCGGAAAACGTCACAGCAACGCCGGTCAACATCGGCAACGTCACCGCCGTTCCCGAGGTGACCAAGATCGCCGGCCCGACGGACGAACCCAACACGGCGCTGCTGTCGTTAGTTCTCATGGCCGGGACGTTTTTCATCGCTTTCTACTTACGCAAGTTCAAGAACAGTGCCTTCTTTCCCGGAAGGGTGAGAAATAAGAGTTCATCTTTGATGTTTTAATATACAAACTGAAGTATTTTATTCAAAACAAAAAAAAAATCACATTTCTTGGTCTCGTTGTTCCCGTGTCCTCAGCTACGCAGGATTATCGGCGATTTCGGGGTGCCCATCGCCATCCTCGTCATGGTGCTTGTGGACAACAGTTTAGACGACACATACACACAAGTAAGACCATAAATCCCAAGCGGGTCACTTCAGAAGAAGCCAATCAAATAATTTCGATTTCTGTGTAGAAACTGAACGTCCCACGCGGTTTCTCCGTGACCAAGCCCGAAAAGCGCGGCTGGATCATCAGCCCGCTGGGACGCGACGGGGATTTCCCCATCTGGATGATGTTCGCCTGCTGCCTCCCCGCTCTGCTCGTCTTCATCCTCATCTTCATGGAGACTCAAATCACCACGTGAGTGGACGGAAAAAAACCTTTGCCATGCATCTAACATGAACCCATGTTACATAAACAACTCTGTTCAGTTTTTCGACACCGGCAATAATAATAGCGACAGTCCAAGTCGAAATAACACTCGCATAAACTGGCAACTTCACACAAAACCTGAACTCGAAAACAAATACGTAAACTCGAAGGTGTCGACTTGTCACTGGAGAAGCTCAGCGAACACGCCGCTATCCAGAACCACTTTCTCTTCTTCAAGAGCGTCACGAAGTCTAACGTGGAGGTACTTTTATCAATCGAGTGAGAGAACGTAGAACGATCCATCCGTTTCGCTTATCCTCACGAGGGTCTTCGAGCAGTAGGCGGGGTACACCATGAACTCGTTGCAGGGGACGCATCAACAAACAACTATTCGCACTCACAATCACACCTTCGGACAATTAAGAGTGTTCAATTAACCTACCGTGCATGTTTTTGGAATGTAGGAGGAAACCGGAGTACACGGAGAAAACCCATGCAAGCACTTGGAGAACATACAAACTCCACACAGTGAAGCGGGCGTCTAAACAATCGACCACCGAGTCGCCGTAGAAAAATCAATGCAACCGATAAGAGCTTGTAATTCTATTTTTAGCCCCTCCGCTGATTTGGCGCTAGTGAGCAACGACGGTGACAAAACCGGAAGTCTAGAACTACCAATGAAGAATCGAATTCAAAGCATTCCAACACGTTTGTGTGTTTTATCTACTACATGTCAAAGCATGAAAATTAAATACAATCTGATCTAATGTCTGTACCAAATTATTCGTTTTCATAGCCAAACATAAACATTGATTATCTATTCGTACCAAGTAATTTCCGTTTTACTAGACAAAATATTCCGAAACTAAATTGTAATACCGCTTTTCGACTCCGCCAATGGGGCGCTAGTGAGCAATAGTGGTGGTAGCAGGATGTTAAAGAAGAGAGAAACTGTTTTTAGAACATTCACTACAGTACTTTATATTCATCTCTCCATCCATTATCCGAACCGCTTATTCTTGTGTGTGTGTGTTTGTGTGTCTATACATATATAAATACACACAATATTTTTTGTCCCATTCTCCCTCTCAGGCTGGCTTTGACGTAGTCTTCATCTACCACCGCTTCTACCTGAAGGCCACCAGATGCCCCAAAGGAACCGAGGATCCGGCGGGTTGCACCTTCAGAAACGACGTCGTGAGTGGACCACCAAAACAAAAAAAAATGCAACGGGACAACCTGGCTGAGTTGTTCTCACCTGTTTCCTTTCAGCCCATGATTCTATTTCAGGGGATTCCAAAATCGTGACACATTTACGCTTGATCGACACGCAACATGATTCTTTTTTTTTTTTTTAGCCCTGAAAGGTTTGCTCTGATTCACATTGAATATGTGACGAACGTAGAGGAACGTTCGCACGCTGACTTACCGTTGCCTTACCAACAAGTGCCTTATATGAAGGAACTACTAAAGTGTGTACTTGGAGGACATCTGGACGGCCTTGCCTTTCACTTTACTCGGCGCTAGTAGCACTTTTTGTTTTGTAAATGAAGACACCAAATCAAAAATGACGATAACACAGTGTGATTGTTTTTAATCGTTAAATCTCATAACGTGTGTTTTTGTCAAGGTGACTGACAACCTGGAGGTGATTTGTTGCAATTTTCCACATTTTCTTTTTTACGCTGCCCTCAAATGCAAAAAGTTGAGGGATGGTCCTTCGACGTTTTGCTCCATTAAGTAGCAGTGACCAGAAATGGTTATTTTCTGTCTGTATTTTTTCCCCCATATATACTAAAATGCATTGCATTTGACATACACTGTACATTTAAATTAGCGGTAAGGAACACAAAATACACTGGTTTACAACTACAATATAGCTTAATAAGCTAGCAGGCTCCTATTTAGTCCAGTATATTGTAGCTCCCTAGTTAGCCTGCCAAGCTAACTAATGCGCTATCCTAGACTAATTAGCTTGAAAAGATAACTAGCAAGCTACTACTTCGCCTATTTAAACAATTATCTTTTAGATTAGCTAGCATGACAAGCCTACGAACAAGCTACAGCTTAGTCTATTATCACAGACTAGCTAGCTTGACAAGCTAGTTTATGTGGCACTAGTTACCTCAAGTTAGCTAGTCACACTTGGCGATTGCTACTTTGTTACTACATGCATGCTAGTTCGCTTGCCAGGCCAGCTAGTCTAACTATAGTAACCAGCTATCTCATCACACTGCTTAGCTTATCTGTCTTAGCTTTTATACTTCCATTTTACCTAGCTAGGTCACCAGTTTATCGAGCCATCTTAAATTTCCACACTAGTTCGCCTTAGCTTGCTAGTAAGCTTGTCAAGGCTAGCTAGTTCGTCTATCTTAGCTCGCTAGTTAGCTTATCAAGCTAGCTGACCTAACGGTGAGGTAATGTAGTCAAAATAGCCACCAGGGGGAGACAAAAAACAAATACTCACTTTATTATTATATATTGGGGGGGTTCAAGCACAGTATAGGGCACTCGTCACGTGTTTTATTTTTTTGCAGGAATATTTCGTCTTGCCAAACAGTTCGTCTGACATCTAACCAACATTCCACCTTTTGTTCTGATATGGGCGCCATGACGATCGTAGACAACGATAATTCGAACGAGAGGACAAGGCTCTTGAATTGTTGTTGTTTTTGTTTTTTTGTTCGAAAAAAGAAAAAAAATGGTGTCCTGTTACTCAAGTCTGTGGTGACATCACCAAAAAAGTGCCTGCGGGACCATGAAGTCGTGAATTAAGAGGTGAATATTTAGCTGTTGCATTACCAGCTTTACCGCTTGTTCTTATTCGTGGTCAACCACATGTTTAGTTTTAATGTTTGTAGTGCTTGTGAATGATGTGATGGTGTTTTGTGTATGTGTCCATGATGAGAATGTAACAAAGAGGCCACTAGTGAAGCTCCCTTGTACAGTTGATGCTTCAAATGTTGATGACAAATAAAAGTTATTTTCTATTTATTCCCCGTGTCACTTTTGGTCCATTTATCTGTCACTTGCCTAATTGGTGTCAGAAGTGGGATCAAGCTGCCTTTTTTCGTCACTTCTAAATAGTCGGATCTGTGTCGATTACTGGCCAGACTGGTATTAGAAATGGGATCTATGTGTATGTCACTCACCACGTTGGTTTCAGAAGTGGGGTTTCACACCATTGGTACCAGAAGTTGAATCCATTTGTCTTTCGCTCACCTTATTGGTGTCAGAAGTGGCGTCGGCCTGCTGTGCACCACTTTGTAACAGAAATAGGGTTTATATCTTATCTTTTCTTATCTATATTTATTTGTTTCAGAAGTGGGTCCTCTGTGTATTTAACACTTGCAACATTGGAATTACTCTTAGATTGACTGATCACATTTCTCTCGCTTGGCGCATTGGTGTCAGAATGTCTGACTTGTTTAATTTTGGGACTTAAAGATTATGACTTCCTCCCACCTCTGCTGAGGAGTTCCAGTTCCACATTGTTTCAGACATTTTGTTGTCGTTGCATTTGTGGGGGCGGAAAAAACGAGGGCTGGATTTCCCGGCGACGAGAGGAGGAAGGGGAGAAGGAGGTGGAGAACGACCACAAAACAAACAAACCAGGGACGTTACGGCACTTCAGAAGATGGCCGCCTTGTTTCTGCTTCTCACCGTCGGAGTAACTTCGTTATGCGCCTCCACCCAGGCGCAAGAAGCTTACGGAAAACTCGAGGAGACGTTCAGGAAAGGTGTCGACTTGTCACTGGAGAAGCTCAGCGAACACGCCGCTATCCAGAACCACTTTCTCTTCTTCAAGAGCGTCACGAAGTCTAACGTGGAGGTACTTTTATCAATCGAGTGAGAGAACGTAGAACGATCCATCCGTTTCGCTTATCCTCACGAGGGTCTTCGAGCAGTAGGCGGGGTACACCATGAACTCGTTGCAGGGGACGCATCAACAAACAACTATTCGCACTCACAATCACACCTTCGGACAATTAAGAGTGTTCAATTAACCTACCGTGCATGTTTTTGGAATGTAGGAGGAAACCGGAGTACACGGAGAAAACCCATGCAAGCACTTGGAGAACATACAAACTCCACACAGTGAAGCGGGCGTCTAAACAATCGACCACCGAGTCGCCGTAGAAAAATCAATGCAACCGATAAGAGCTTGTAATTCTATTTTTAGCCCCTCCGCTGATTTGGCGCTAGTGAGCAACGACGGTGACAAAACCGGAAGTCTAGAACTACCAATGAAGAATCGAATTCAAAGCATTCCAACACGTTTGTGTGTTTTATCTACTACATGTCAAAGCATGAAAATTAAATACAATCTGATCTAATGTCTGTACCAAATTATTCGTTTTCATAGCCAAACATAAACATTGATTATCTATTCGTACCAAGTAATTTCCGTTTTACTAGACAAAATATTCCGAAACTAAATTGTAATACCGCTTTTCGACTCCGCCAATGGGGCGCTAGTGAGCAATAGTGGTGGTAGCAGGATGTTAAAGAAGAGAGAAACTGTTTTTAGAACATTCACTACAGTACTTTATATTCATCTCTCCATCCATTATCCGAACCGCTTATTCTTGTGTGTGTGTGTTTGTGTGTCTATACATATATAAATACACACAATATTTTTTGTCCCATTCTCCCTCTCAGGCTGGCTTTGACGTAGTCTTCATCTACCACCGCTTCTACCTGAAGGCCACCAGATGCCCCAAAGGAACCGAGGATCCGGCGGGTTGCACCTTCAGAAACGACGTCGTGAGTGGACCACCAAAACAAAAAAAAATGCAACGGGACAACCTGGCTGAGTTGTTCTCACCTGTTTCCTTTCAGCCCATGATCGACTGCGCCATTTGCTACAAAACCTTCCAAGGAGATATCGAAGCGGAGCCCAAACCTTACCTCAATTGTCTCCGCAAGCCCTCTGTCACTCCGGTGAGTCACCTGGTGGATTACTCGTTGCCAGTTTACCATATTTCGTCACTTTTAATCTTTATTGGTGTTTTTTTTTAAATATGCGGCAGGAGGTGCAGGCGAGCCGAATGGAGCAATGCAACAGGTTGGCGTACAGCAGTGGAGGCACAAACCTTCTAGCTTCCACAGGAACAAAGTAATACCGTGATGTGTGCTGAGTGAGTGACGTCAAGAGCGGATGTCAGGTTAGCCGTTTTTTTTCTGCGTGAGTGACTGGGTGTGAGCTGTGGCCTACAGCATCTCCTTGCGATTGTTGTCATTTTGTATTTCTGTATTGGATCGTTTTTGCCGTTCAATAAATAGCATCATAATACCCTAAACGTGTATGGTTGCTTGATGTTTGCTGGAGATTATTCAAAAGCCAGAGTCTGTGATTGCAGTCAATAAACTGTCATGATCAAATCCACAAAACATGATGCACATGATACACATACTTTATTATTGTTTTAAAACACATGAAATATGAAGTAAATGAAACATTCCATCCATCCAGTAACCGTCCCTGTCTAATATCATTCATCATTATTTTTGTCTGAAACTCCTCAGCTCACTACAACATAGTTCCTTCACACCAAAATGTTGTCTGAGCACATTTTTTTTCCTCTAACAAACATCTCAGATCACTTTAATACACACCCAAGTAATACAGTCAATGCTGAGGCTTGTGCACCGAAAGTTAATAGAGGATAAGTATTTGAATCAGAGTGAGTTCACTGTATTACATTTTTTGCTTTGTTTTTTTGTCTGAGTAGTTGTACAGAGGCAATAGAAGATTCTTAAAAAAAAATGGGAGTTTTCCCTTCATCTTGGAAAGAATATTTGAGAGCTACTGACCTCGACTTGGGTTAATTATTTCCCAAGCTATGTGGACAAAATGTTAAAATGTAGATAAATGGTGCCCAAAAAAGGATGCAGTTGACATTGGAAAATATCCCAAGGTTCATCTGCTGCAGACTTGTGGGTTTGAGTGAGTTTATTTTCTTATCAGTTCAAAAGCATTTAAAAAAATGTTCTGATAGGGTTGCCTAAACAAGATCATAATACTTCGTGTGTCCTGCATTAAAATGTAGTCAAAATAGCCACCAGGGGGAGACAAAAAACAAATACTCACTTTATTATTATATTATTATATATTGGCTTGGTTCAAGCACAGTATAGGGCACTCGTCA